AAAAAAAAAAAAAAGATAAGAAGTAGGGGGGAAATGAAATTACAGAAGAGTTGCACAGTCAGATAGAATTTATATAGATGTAATTCATGACTGGTTGCCTCTAGGAAGGGAGAGAAATAGAACTGAGAGGGATACAAAGTGGGGAGGCTTTGACTTGAGTCTATCACTTCTAGTAAATTTATTTTGAGACAGAGTCTTACTTTGTTTCCCTCAGTAGAGTGCTATGACATCATAGCTCATAGTAACCTCAAACTGTTGGGCTCCAGTGATTCTCTTGCCTCAGCCTCCCAAGTTAGCTGGGACTACAGGCGCCCAACACAATGCCTGGCTATTTTAGAGACAGGTCTCACTCTTGCTTAGGCTGGTCTCAAACCATGAGCTCAGACGATCCACCTGATTCCGCCTCCCAAGTGCTAGGATTACAGATGTGAGCCACCACGCCGGGCCTAGAAAATTTATTTTTTAAAAATCTGAAGCAAACATAACAAAATGCCAGTATTTGTTAATGCTAGGTGGTGGATTTCTTGGGTTACTTAGTGGATCACTCTCTTCACATTTCTGTATTTTAACTTCTTCCCCCATCAACCAAAAACAGGAAAATGAAGAGAAAACCATGGGATAAGGTAGATCCCATATTTGTTGAGACCTTTCTCTATCTCAGGTGTAGGTTACACCTGTAGTTCTCAAAGTGTGGTCCCTGGACCAGCAGTACCAGCATCACTTGGGAATGAAAATTCTCAGGGTCCTGCCCCAGACCTACTGAATCAGAAACTCTGGGGGATGGCCCAGCAATCTGTGTTTTATCAAGCTTTCCAGGAGATGCTAATAAGAATCCTGGGCTATGAGTGGGAGTTAGGGCAAAATTTATCATGTGTCCCTGTCAGTGCTCTCAGAGCTTTCCTCAATTTAACCTCCAAAACAACCCTGTGAAGGAGGTATTATTACTCTCCTCATCCTGCAGTTGTGGAAACCAAGGCACAGAAAGGCCAAGTACTCCGTACAAGGTGCAGCAGGCGGTTTGCCCCCCAAGCCCCCACCCTCCCTCAACTACCGCACTGCCTGTCTCTCTCACACACTTCATCTCTCACATGCTCCAGCTCACAGCATCCTTGGAAGACTTAGCCCCATTTTACAGATGAGGAAACAAATTCAGAGAGAGAGAATGACTTGCCCAACCAGGAGGAAAGTGACAGGGCAGACATCTTACGGTCTCTGTCCTGTCCAGGAGGTTTGGGGGTTTAACTTAGACCCGCTGGGGGCGGGGAAGGGAGCGTTAAGAGGTGACCCAGCTGCAGCCGGGCCAGGGTGTGGCTCGCAAGTCATGCCTCTACCCTGACGCCCCTTTCCCCACGCCAGCTGTCAACCGGTATGAGCCGTCAACCACCCCCACCAGGAACCATAAGGGCCTTCCCCTCCTGGGCTACGTGAAGCCCCCATCCCTTCCTTTTTTTTAATTTTGCAGAAGGGGAACTTGGACGGCCAGAGAAGTGCCAGCTTGAGCATAAAGTCTCTCCAGGGGCCTGAGCTGCCCCTTCCTTGGGCTACCCCGGGTTTGCAGCTGGGCCACCGCAGTGCCGCCCCTCGCCTGGCACCATTCACTCCCATCCGGGTCGCCCCGACGTTCCCTTCTCCCTGTGCAACTGCCCCCAAAGCCAGCCCTGGCCAGGACCCGCCCTCCGCCGTCCGGGGACCCTCACGGGCCGGGTGTCCCCTGGCGTCCAGCCCGCAGTACTCACCTGGGCACCCGCTCCTCGTCTCGCGGGCAGCCCGGCTCCTCGCAGCTCGAACGCCCCCCCAGCTCTGCAGCCCCCGGGATTCCGGGGCGCTCGTGCTCACAGAGAGATGCACTGACTTTGAAGAACAAGAAGCTAACTGGGCCGGCGCTCGGAGGGGTTCGGTGCCGCTGTCCTCGGCTCTCCTCCCGCTGCCGTGTCCTGGTCCCCTCCCACCCGCCTCTAAGCGCCCGCTGTGCGGCCGGGTGCCAACCGGGGACTCGGAGGCGCCCACAGGCCATCTGGGCTCCGCGGCCGCGCCCCGAGCGATGCTAACCCCGCCCCGAAGTGTCCTAACACCGCCTCCGAAGATTCTAACCCCACCCCGGGATCATAACCCACTACCCAAGGATCATAACTTCCGTGCCCTGCTCGCAGGATCCCAAACCAGCCGGGGCGGGAGGGAAAAATCACCCGTCCGAGGCTTCTAACCCGACCCCCCGGGATCCCAACCCCGTCTCTGAAGATAATAACTCTGCCCCCTAGGATTTTAACCTGCCTGCCAATGAACCTAATCCCGCCTCCGGCCCGAATGCTTCCTAACACCTCCCCTGACGCTTTTTAGTCCGCCTCCCAACCTCCTCACCCGGGCCCCAGAGGATTTTAAACCCCTCCCCCGGGGGTTCTAACCGCTAAGAACCCCAACCTCCTGCTCCCCAAATCCTACCCCTGCCCTCAAAGGATTTTTAATCCCACATCTGAAGGATGCTTAATTTAAGGATTCTAATCCAGCCAAGGGAAGGACCTAACCCCTCTCTTCCAAGGATTCTAACCCCATCCTCAAGACTTACAGCTCTAACCCCAGCGATTCTTATACTGCCCCCGAGATCCCAGACTTCCCCCATCCCCGGTCTTTAATCCCCAGGAGTCCAATCCAGTCCTTCCAAAAATTCCAACCCCGCCCTCCAGGGATTCTAACTCCACCTTTCAGTGGATTGTAGCCACTCTCTTCAAAGGAAGGGTCCCACTCCACCCTCATCACTCTCACAGGCTTCTAACGCCCACCCCTGAAGCCTTAGATCCGTCTCCCCCACCATTCCGATCCCTCCCTTCTAGGCCTGGCCCCCGCCCCAAGCGTCCCAAACCTTCCAGGCCCTTTTGCGGTCTGCTGTTTTCTTCCCGCACTATTCAAACGCCATGCGAAGTTCCTGGCCCGAAGGCACCACCCTGGCTTATTCTGGGCAAGTTCTGGGCACCTCAGATGACTTCTCAAATTGAGTGGAAGCGAAATGCCGCGCTGGAGGGCGATTGAAGCCCCAAAGGGATGGCATTGCGCCCAGCTCTAGGCAAGGGCAGAGCCCATCTCCTCCTGAAAGAGACAGGGGCTGTCACCCTAAATTCTGTGTAACGCGCCTCCCGAATGTACAGGAATCCTACTTCATCTCTCTATTCCCTCTGCTACTAGTCAGACCAGGCCACCATCACGCATGCATTTGTTTGTTCCTTCAACAACACCGTGCTGGGGGATGTAGGGCTTCTCAGACTTGGCCCTATTGACATGCGGTACACATGGTTCTTTGTTACGGTGGGCTGTCTTGCGCATGATAGGATATTTAACGAAACGGCATTCCTGGGCGCTACCCACTAGATGCCCGGTAGCAACCCTCCTCCTCAGTTGTGATAATCAATGTCTCCTGAGAGGCCAAATGAGGGGGAGAGACACAAATGAGAAAGACAGTGAACGCCCTACTCTTACAGGTTGGTGTATGTGCTTAAACGCATGGACCTGTATGCACTTTGGATAAAAACACATAATGTTGCTTAATGGTATTTATTCCATTTTCAACTTTTCCTCCCCTCCATCACTGTTGTTAATATCTAGCTATGTTGCTGAAGGTAGTGGTCATGTATTTATAGCCTACATCCTTCACATTTTATTTACCCGTTTCCTACTATGGACACCTATATGGCACCTACTGTGGACTTCCCATTATGGACCTATGTGAGTATTGTTTACAGACTTGCTTTGCCAGGAACACTTACTCTATTTTATGAAATCGAGTGTTGAATTCTAGAATCTCAAATAAAACCAACTGAGATTTTTTAACTTTAAAAAAATGGGTGGTGGCTCATGCTTGTAATCCTAGCACTTTGGGAGGCTTTGAGGTCAGCCCAAGCAACATAGCAAAGACCTCGTGTCTACAAAAAATAGAAAAATAAGCCAATGTGATGGTGTACATCTGTAGTTCCAGTTACTTTGGAGGCTGAAGTGGGGTATTGCTTGAGCCCAAGAGTTTGAGTTGCGATGAGTTATGAAGATGTCACTGCACTCTAGCCCTGGCAATAGAGTGAAACCTTGTCTGAGGGGGGGAAAAAGACTTGCTTTGCTAAGAATGACAGGTGCTTGCAGAATGGATGCTGTGGATCCATCCATTCTGCAATGGATCCCTCTCTCTCCCACCCTTTCTCCATATCTTTCTTTACTAATCCTTGGTATTCTCCATTGGTCTTAATTTGAATTCCCTAAAAGCAGACCTTGGACATAGATTCAAGTGGATGCCCTTTATTTAGGAGATCCAGAAGACACCAGTAGAGGAGTGGGTGAATGAGACAGGGAAGGCAAGAAGTCAATTAAAGGAGTATTATCAAGCATGTTACCTTTGTGGGCAACTGGAGTTCAGTTCAGTTCGGGAGACTGTGTACCATACCCACTTTAGAGTTATCCCACCTGTGAGATGAGGGAGCTGGGGCATTTATATACCAACTCCTGTCAAACACTGAATGAGGGATATTCTCAGGGATATTAATCCTCCAGCACTTTTGGCCTTCCCTGTGCATGCTCCAGCTACCAGATAGCTTCCAGGAAGAGATGCGCAGGTCCTGGTAAAGGCCCAGAGGACACTGGAAGGTCATCAGCAGCATTGGCTACATCTCCTTCCAGAAATTTGCCATTCTGATGGCAAAGAACAACAGAAAGTGGAAACATTCTTCTACTAAGTGGACGATTTCCCAGTATTTTTGCTATTAAAATAATGGGACAATTAAAAATTCTTGTGTGTGTTCCCAAAGCTCTATAAACTTTAATGTGGCACGATTTTATAAATAAAACCCACCATTATATGTATTCAGCTTGATGAGTTTTGTAAATGTACATGCTAGTTTTGTAACTAGCATGTATATTTACAAAATTAGCATATATATTTACACCTCAATCAAGATATAAAACATTTCTATTAGCCCAAAAAGTTCTCTATTGCATCACTATTAGGTGGCCTTAAGTAATAACCAGTTACCATTTTCTTATATAAAAGCTTTGTCTTTGGGCAGCACCTGTGGCTCAGTGGGTAGGGCACTGGCCCCATATACTGAGAGTGGAGGGTTTGAACCCCACCCCAGCCAGCTAAAACAGCAGTGACAACTGCAACAAAAAATAGCCAGGTGTTGTGGTGGGTGCCTGTAGTCCCAGCTACTCAAGAGGCTGAGGCAAGAGAATCATCCAAGTCCAAGAGTTGGAGGTTGTTATGAACTGTGATGCCACAGCACTCTACTGAGAGCAACAAAAGTAAGACTCTGTCTCAAAAAAAAAAAAAAAACCCAAAGGTTTGTCTTGGGTGGCACCTGTGGCTCAATGGGTAGGACACTGGTCCCATATACCAAGCGAGGATGGCAGGTTCAAACCCGGCCCCAACCAAACTGCAACAAAAAAATAGCTGGGCATTGGGGTGGGCACCTGTAGCCCCAGCTACTCAGGAGGCTGAGGCAAGAGAATCGCCTAAGTCCAGAAGGTGGAGGTTGCTGTGAGCTGTGACACCATAGCACTCCACTGAAGGTGATAAAGTGAGACTCTGTCTCAAAAAAAAAAGCTTTGTCTTTTTTAGAATTTCACATGTGCAGTAATACAGTGTGTTTCCTTTATGTTCACCTGCTTTTACTTACATATTCCTTTTGAGACTTTCTTTGTTGTTACACGTTCCAGTAGTTTATTCCTTTTCACTGCTGAGTAGTATTCCACAGTAAAGAGGTACCACTATTTGTTTATCCATTTATTTATTGATGGACATTTGGGTCATTTTCAGTTTGGGGCTATCTGAATAAAATTGCTATGAACATTTGTATACAAATCTTCATATAGACATGTTTCTATTTGTCCTGGGGGTAAATACTTAGATTGAAATTGCTGGACCATATAATAAGTGAACTGAACTTTATAATAAACTGTTAAATGTTTCCAAAGTGGTTATACCATTTTTGCATTCCCACCAGTGATTTCCAGTTGCTCCACATCCTTGCCAGCATTTGATATTGTCATTCTTTTTTATTTAAAAAAGTTTCCATCTAACTCATATTTGCCTCAAAAAAATTATATGATTTTATTAAAACAAATACAAATCTTATTGTAAGACATTAGGTTACCAGTCTTTGATGTGGCAAATATTTTTCCATTCATTCATTCCTTCATTGTCATGGGGAGTATGACCCCAAGAAATTGTGCTAAGTGCTCCATCTTTGGACTAGAATTCAAACCCTGCCACTACCACCTGGGTAATGTACAAATCAAATCACCTCTCTGAGTCTCGGTTTCCTCATCTGTCAAGTGGGAATAATAATAGTACTTACCTCACAAGGTTATTTTGAGAATCAAATATAAGTAAAGTGCTTAGGCACACTCTATACTGATGGTCAATTTCATCGGTACAGACTGTGTCTATGTCATTAAGACTTCAAACTGCTGCTTAGGCACTGGTTTAATTTGGAAGTCACCTCTGTTATACCTTGCCTTGTTCCAAGAAGGAACATATGGCTTTAACCAGAAGGTATTGCCTATGGGCAGTAGACTCCTTCGAATGTGGATAAAGGAATGCTGGAATGCAAGTGGGATTGTGCTGGGAATGAGGCCTGTGGAACTCAGTCTTAGGGCAAGCAGCAGACCAATCCCACATCAGGAGTAACTAGACTCAGATTCTTGGGCCCCTTCCATCCTTGCGTGTATAGCCTTGAGAAAGTCATTTGATATTTCTAATTCTCTTAATCAGTCAAGAAAAGGCTACTGAGCATCTACTGGGTGATGGGTCTTGAGCTGGGTGTTAGGGATACAACAGGGAATGAAGCAGTTATAGTCCTTGGCCTCATGCACTTTTCAGCTTAACGGAGGGCATTAAAAAAAAATAGTTGTGCAAATAAGGGTACCAGGTTTTGGGGGGTGGAGGGGTGAGGAAAATGTTCTGAAATTATGGTGATGGTTGCACAACACTTGGAATA